ACTAGAGTTTTGTTTTCAATGGATAAATTAAGGGTAGATGATTTTAAATTCCAAATAATTTTAAACACAGAGTTGGTATGTAGAAGATACAAATAACTATATTAATTTCTAAAAATACATATTTTTCATATTTTCTCTGCATTGAATAGCTCAACCACCTGTTGCTCCGAAATTCCGCTTACGTGGGCGACTGCATTTCTAGGTGTTCGAATAATGGCACGTAAAATTATGTAAATTTATAGAAAAATAGTAATCAAGCACATTTATTAATTGCTCACCCGCTCTCTGAAAGGTATGTGTGAGTGAGTAGTTTGTGTCTTTGTTAATAAGCGCGACGCAGTTTGTGTTTTGTGTGTGCTAAATTTAGTAGTCAAAGTTCAATGCGGAATATTGAATAACTGGAGGAAGGCACTACGGCAAAATACTCCTCTTTCGAATTCTACTACTTTTCCAGACAGCTTGGTACATATTTGCACATGTGCTGCTATAGAGAGCCACCGATCAGGAGAGCCGGAGGCAAGACAACAAATAATATATTCACTAAATGCGTAAGACGTCAGCTTGGTTTAATAAATAAAACAAGCAAGAAAATAAAACAATTCCAAAATCAAGTTTTCGATCTTTACAGCCAGCAACTTATAAACAAGAAAGAGAGCCAAAGCTAGAAACTAATAAGCTACACGGAAAGAAAATGGTTATCAATATAGAAAAATGTGAATAATTTTATTTCATTTGGATATCCGCTGGTGAGTTTTTAAATCTATTAAACAAATATGAATACAAATTATAGTTTTACTTTAAATAACCGAAACATTATGGTCAAGTAGCTTTTTACTTGTTACAATTCGTATAGATATCAATATGTTTTTAACCCGTTTTAAAGAGTTTTCTTACTTTAGTTATACAACGTTAACTATAGTTAAAATATCAAAAACGATTATATTTTTTTGAGAGTTGATTGCCTTTATAAGACCAATTTATAAATATCATGGCTATATAAATATGATCTATTATGATGCTAAAAGATCAGTATAATAATTTAAAAATAACATGGTTTTTTTCTCTGTTAGGAGAGATTTCCGATCGGCAGAGAGATAAAACTTAGTATTCCGCGTGGGAGAGCTGATATCAGCGTTATAACGGTAAAGGGCAAGCCCCACATATGGTTAACCAAAAACAAACCGACTATACAGTCAAGCCTCTTTGCCCAAGATTAGTATTATAGCCAAGATCGAACCATTTTAATTGAAATGTTTTCGCTAGCTTTTATTGCTGTTTATGTTTACTTTTCACACTCGTATGTTTAATTATTATGTTAACAGCACTTGAGCGGCCCCAAACATCTTTCGGGGGGTACGACTGTACTAGCTGAAAACGCCAAAACCAAACGGAAAACGTTAGGCCCAGATAGCCCGATGTTTATTATTTTTTCGCGTTCATGTTAGACCTTAATTAAGTGTTAAAATGGCATGAAATTAAATCTGCGAGTGTGGGTTAGCTGGAAACGATGACGCTGCGACGATAACGTCATTATCGTTATCACCCCCAAGCCACTCGAAAGGCGCAAATGTTATCAGCACTCGCGCGAGACCAACAACAACAGATTCCAGTCCGCAATCCATACCCAGAATCGGCCGACATTATTCAGCTCCAGCATGGGGCTTCAGCACACGGCATCCGCCCATGCTCCAATCTCTCCACTTCCCGGGGGGCCTTTGGGGACATTGGCATTGCCGTAGCTATAATGCTGTATTGCTATTGCTATTGCTATTGCCACAGCCAGCTGGCTCTATTCGACGAACTTGCCAACGAACAGCAGCAGTCAAGTAAATAGCAACATATGTTTTTAAAAAACTAAGCCATACTTATAAATATTAATTTTGTCGATTTAAAAATTTATCTCACAAAAATTAACACACGTTATATACAATTTGAACTAAACAGTTTAAAAATAAAGATATTTTTTTTTTTAATTTTGTTTTTAAAACTTATTTTATAACGATTAAATTGACTTGATAGTTCGTTCTTAAAGAGTTATAGTCAAATTTAAGTAAACCTCCATATAAACCTCTATATTTGAGCAATTCTAACTCCTTCTTTAGGGCGTTTTGATGATATGATATTAGGATGATATATCATCATGTAAATAAAGCACCGAGGTAGTTTTCTCGTCTGCATGTTAAACTAAAAAAATATAATGAAACAGGGAGTTTAAAAACTTCGTTTAGTTTAACATCCGGACGAGGTAAGAACTAGTCTGAGCTTCCAGTTAATAATACAACTATGTACTGTTGGTCTCTTGAAATACCTATAATTGAAAGTAAAAATGTTTAAAATTGTCATATTTACAACTTTTTTTATATCCAAGTTAATAAACTTAAAGCTAAACAATCAATCCAAAAACGCAGGAAAATCAGATTTGTGATTTTCCATAAGGTTTTTTAGTCCCTCCGCTTACATACCAATTTTGTATTCTATTAAACTTTTTCTTCAATATTGAAAATTTTATAAAATATAAAGTATCACAAACCTAATCGTTAAATGTTCACTCTTTTCAGCAATTTTTTTTGGAAATTGAGTAAAAATTTCTGTAGAAGTTGTTATTGTCTGCGTCCTTGGAAACTTTACTTTTAAAATTTAAATATGTGGACTTTTTCAAGATATTTTTAATGAGATTTAAAAAGGATTCTTACAATTTTGATTTCAACTGTGTAGGCAGGGGATGTACAAAATCCTTATACATATATATCGTAGTTTTTGCAACGCAGGCCAGTTGAATGCACCCCAGTTGAATGCCTATATGGCACACAATTGATAAGAACGCAAGAGACTCTCGGATTTCAATTGTAATGCGTACCTCGGTGTGTGTGCGTGCGCAGGAGTAATCATAATAGCAAATAATTAGTATTGATTACAGCGCCTCCCCATTGATTGATAACACTGTGCAAGTCAGAAAATGCTAATTTTGCTTGAACGTCTATGCCTTACCAATTATTATTACTATAGTTTTTAAACAGCTCTATTTTGGGAGACCATGTTCACATTAACTGAACTACAATCTATTTTAACTAGTTAATATGAAAGAACGGAAAAGTAGTATAATGTATATCTTGAAGTTATTCTTATTTATGGTTAGTATATTAACTTGCCACGTGTCTTAAGTGCGTACATTAGGAGTACATTGTCCCTGTATATATATTTAAATTGTACGATTGGGCCTGCGTGTGATAGGAGCTAAAAATAATCCACATGCATCAGAGGTGCCCAGCATTGACGTTCGAGATTGGATTGGATTGTAATGGCACATGTATTAGGTTGGTTGGTTGCACTTTCTTCAAGGGTAATGCAGATGAAGGGTTCATCACAGTGGCGCAAACCCTAAGATGTTATACAACAAACTTATATGGCGAGAAGAAAAAAGTACTGCTTTTGTACCACTGTGAAACGCCGACTTTGATTGCAACAATAGACAACAAGGACAGCAAATAAGAAATACTAGTATAAATATGCATTGTAATGAAACGTAAACAGGCGATAGTGCAGAGTTTATAAGCAATTTTATTTGCTCTCCTCTCTCTGCCGAGGGCATGCAGCATATTTCGCTGCTCTAATCAGTTGTAGAATCATATTATTTAAAAATCTGAAATTGTGAAAACACATTTTAAGGTTTGCTTTCTTAAAGTTGTATTGTATATCCTTCCAACGGTATTACATATACTTTGAGTAATAATTTTGCTCATAAGGTAAACAATCCATACGATCTAACTATCATAAGCTAGATAAAACTTCCTAAAGTGCTTCTTTTTATGGCGATTAAGCAAAATCGTTCTACTATATACAGCTTCCGTCTAATAACAATATAAGTAAGCTCCTGGTCAGTCTATTTCTATTTAAACTTGTCTTATATATAGTAAGTCAGTTTATAAACAAAATTTTTAATCGTTCTAAAAGCTAGTAAGAAATAATACAATATATCAAAAAATATAATTTAACTATGTATTTTAAGCCACATTTTTTAGAAAACCGATCACCTTATAACATGGTTAACTGGGGAGCTGTTTGCCCATGCTCAATATCCGGATAACAACAAGACTACGAGAGCGGAAAGAGGCCGATGTCAAGGCTGCGTCACACATCGGAAATAGACATCAGCTACGATTTTGGCGGGCATAAATATGCTGTTTGCTGTTTCAGTTACCACAATTACTCCAACAGGCTGATCAAATATTGATCGACTTGAGGACCCCCGACCATGTGAGCCTACTACGTCACTGCTGACGGTCCACAAGGGGGGTTGTCATTGTTTTTCTGCCGGGGGGGGAGTACATAACATTCTGATGTCTTTGCGATAAGAATTCCGACCACAGTGAACAGACTTTGTTACCTCAGCCGGGAACTTTCCTTTCCCATCGATAACGAGATAACAAATAAAATGATTTAATTTATATTTATGAATCAAGAATTCTCACCTGAGGCGCCGCATTGCAGTAGTTACCCTTTCGAACTATTTCTACAGCTTTTCTGAGTGGCGCGCAAAAAAAGCTCATACATACGTTCGACAGTGGCTTTCAAACCGTAAGTGTACAAATGTATAAAATCGACCTTAAAAACCTCTTAAGTCTCTTCAACAAACCTCAAAGAAACGCAAAGGTAAGGAAATGGAATGACATGATATCAAAGAATTAATTTTCATATTTTATATCCATATAATATTGTATATCATTTACTTATGAGTACGATTTCCACATTTGATTAGTTAAAAAGGTTTTAAAAAAATCACAACTAGATCTGTAACAATCTGATTTAAAAAAAAATTATATGACATAAGATCCGGATTCTATTGATGATCTCCAGGTTTTTCCATTTACGTAGTAAATATTTGTATTCATAAATTATTTTGTTCAATTTTTCGAAAGGTTTGAAGTTTTTAATTTGTTTTCGAAGACTTTTTGTTATTCCTCGATTTTACTTAACTCAAAATGAGTGTGTGAGAGATGAGGTTCTGATTTTATGAATTCAATTTATTAGTCTACTGTTTTGGGGAATGATAATTTCAGATCCTATTGGTACGCAGATAATCCTCTTCGTCGTCTCCGTCGGCATCCTCCACAACGCTGTAAGAACTCTTGCCAGCACCATCCTTGGCTAGATGCGTTTCAAAGAACTCCTCCACGGTGTCCGTGTTCCACTTGGTGATGGACAGCGTCTCCTGAACTTTACCACTGGCATCAAGGAGCTTAACCACGGGATCCAAGCCCCTTACGTACTTGATCTGCAAGTTGGGGAATTTGGCGGGCCGGCCGCTTTGGATGAAGGCCTGAATCTGGGGATAGGCCCGGAACTTGCAGGTGCACACCTCCAGAATGGCCTTGGCATAGGTTCGCTGCGCCGCCGGCTGTTGATCCAAAGTGCAACATTGCTTGCATTGGGGTCTGAAATAATAAAGTTAAGGTTAAATGGTGAAACAACTTTAGCTTCGGAGACTGAGGCATAAAATAGATGTAAAGTAAAAATGCTACTAAATTTGGTTTTAAAACCAAGAACATTAAAAACAATTTTTCAAATTCCCCCAAGCTTAAAAATCAATATGGTATTAAGATGGCAGATCAAAAAAAAATCCTATTGTCTAAGAGAGATCTTCCAAAATCCTTAACCAAATCATATTAAAATGTTGTATACTTTTAATATAATAAATACGGCGAGATCTTCCCATTTTAATAAGGAACAAGCTTCACTAGGATCTGCATTTTAAATTTAAGTCTCTGCTTTATACATTTAAAGTTCTCGACGAACATACATATGTTGACCGACTTGGCTATTGATCCTGATAAATATAATGAAAATATTTGTTAATCCAAAATTCAGTGTAACTGAATAGTTGACACAGACTTGAAAAAGAGGAAAGACAGCTTTTACTATAATTAGGGCTTTTAGAGAGCCATATACAACAATGTTTTACAACTGCCTGCCTCAAGTACTTGCATGCCAAACCTTCAACAATTATTGCACTCTATAAGCATGCATCCTTGATCCCTACAGACCTCAGATAATGTGTTTTTATTAAACTCACTTGATGGTATCCAGTCCAAAATCATCGAGTTTGTCACAACTGGAACACATTAATTGTGCCTTGATGAAACCCAGATCCCGGCATTCGGCGGCCGTTAGTTCGGCATGGATTTGCTGGCACTGCACAGGATATAAAGTAAAATATGAATATTGTTCATGCTCCATATACGGAATTGACTTACGCTTAGGGCCAGCAGCAGAAATACCACAAATTGCTGCATTTTAAGGGCTAAAATCTAATTAAATTTACTACGTCCACGTCGTGTTTACAAAATCTTCTTAGCTTAGTGGTGGAAGATGATGCCTATCGTATCATTCTGACGCTTTATCGATATTTACCTGTACTTTAGCAACCGACATTTAAGCAATTAAAAAGTAAGAAAATAATTTGTAATAAATGTTTACCAACCACTTTTATAATTTTACTTTTAATTCCACTCGATTTAATAACTTGGCCCGGTTTCGATAACTCATCACGACCTCATCTCTACTATCGATAGCAATGCACAGCACCTGGCCAGTGGCCACCACTAGCTCAGAAATCGAAGATTTATTCCTGGTGCATTTGTTTTTTTGCTTCGCTCGCGAAGTGAGCCCAGTTTTAAATTAGTTTAATTTTAATTGCATACAGTGAGGCCACTCGAAAGCGGATCGTCGACCGTCGCTGTGCAGCCAAAAAACCAACAGTATTAGCTGTGTGCGTGTTTGGCCAAAACAAAATTTCGAACAAAATCAATAAAACGGAAACGTGAGAGAGCGCTGCGCAAAAGAGAAAAGCGAACGCAATCGCAATCGACCAACGCATAGAAGAAAACAAGGTGAATAAATAGAACATGGCACAGAATAGGAGGAATAGAATCAAATCGAATTAAAATCGAGGACAGAAATAGAAACGAAAAGGCGAGGCGAAGAAAGGGAAACAAATAATAACCGTTACAGGAGGAGGGCTCCAGGCGAGAGTCAAGGCTCTCTCTCCCATCCCCTCCTCCTGTGTGCGTGTGTGTGTATGTACATGTGTTTATGTTTTGTTTAGCAAATTAATAATCTTAATTCTGCTGGGATTTCGCCACTCAGGTGCTAAAAAAAAACAGTGCACACTCTGATAAGTCTGCCTGTGTGTCGGTGTACTTGTTTATTTAATTCATATTTACTCAAGTAAATTAATTCATTTGCCCTTGTGTACAATAACAACAAGCGCCGTTTGCTTGGAAACTTGTTCTCGCAGTTGTTGTCCTCCTCCCCCTCCACCTCGTCCATCTCGTATTCTTTCTCTATTCCATTGCAATACCAATGCAGCTGTTGGTGTCTGCGTTTGTATTTTTCATTCAATCCAGGAAATTGCCCCTTGAGATTGAGAGACCTTCCATTCAGACAGCCTCCGTTCCATCTGCATCTTTCCATCTTCCTCTTCATCATCTTCCGTTTGCATCTTGAGCCTCTCTTGTGCTCCCGGTCCCGTTTAACTGGTTTGCTTCGCACTCTATTCCAGAGATGCGATACACCTCTCTCCCTCTCCCTCTTGCACACCTGCTGCTTGGCAGCTGTCCACGCGCTCAAATTTCTTATCAACAAAACGAAACGAAACGAACTCCGGCTGAAATCCAAAACCTGGCCCAAACTGCGTTGTTACTTTTCCACAGCGATTCGCTAATTTCCAACGCCTTTTGTGACGTCCCTGTTGCTTTCTCCCTCTCGACTTCCCCTACTCCCTCCCTATCCTCCTTTCTCTTACACACGCAAAGTTACAGTAGGACTTCGTGTGGTTGAATTTTCTGTATTTACAAGACACTCGTGGTTATCCAGATAAAACCCGTAGAGCCCGTATTTTTTCATGAATTATTTCAAAACATGTATGTTGATTTCATTAGAAATATATTTTATTTAAAGGGTCAATTCAAAAATTGTATACGATTTTGCGTATATTGATCTGTAGCTTAGCTTGTACCTTTAAAATTATTTTTATTAGAACAGGGAGAACATTTTTTTAACAAGCGTATCTACATAGACATTGAATACATATATTCTATAAACCACAAACTTAGATTTTTGTTAGCTTAAATATAAAAGTATTGCTCAATTTAAATTACTTGTAGATTATTCTAAACAATTGTAGTTGTTTCTAATCAAGTGTGAAGTTAAACTAAATTAAAAGTATGCATGGCCATGACCACGATCTTCCTTGATTTCTAGTAAATTTTGATAAGACAAAGTGTTTTTAATACGCTAAGTTTGGCAAAAACAAAAATCAAAGAGCATAGTGGTCAACAGTTTCGAAGAAATATTTTAATATCTGTATCTATTAATAATGTCATTATAAAGGTAAAATGGAAACATTGAAACCAGAGATCAAGGTATATCCCAAAAAAAATTAGTCCTTTAAAGTCGAAAATAAACATTTTCATTTTAGTTACCTAATGATTTTTACTTTCTCAAACAACAACAGTTCGTTAAACCAAAAACATTTTGTATAAGATTTGATAGTTTAAAATCAAATATTTCGTTTTCAAAAATTTCGACTTATTTTAAGGATACTTATCATTGAAATGGCATAGGTAAAAGTTTTTTTAAGATCCCTATTTTGAAACGATGATTACACCTCCTGAAGTACGACTGTACACTAAACAATCTCACTCGGTTTCGTGCAATTTTGCAATATTTCAAATGCCCGCACATCTGACTCATCCGCAGGTAACTGTAATTGCCGCCTAGCATCCACTTGCGTTCCGCACTTGTGGATGGTATTTGTCACCTTATCAAGACCGCTCCACCTTTTTTCATTGGAGTTTTTGATGCTTTGGCACTAATCATCACACAGAAAAAAAAAAATAAATTTGTTAATGTTAAATTTAAAAATTTTTAAATGAAATATTTATCTTTGTATGTAATATATGTTATCAAGTAATCAAAGATACTATCATTTCATATTGTTATTTTTTTCGGTGGAGCCTTTTGTTTGAGGTCAATTGGTGATAAGCCCCCAGGTGCTCGTTTAGCTCGTTGGCGTCTATTAGCTCATTATTCAAGCTTACGTCCGGCTCACCCACATAGACTAATAGAAATAAACCAAAAGAAATACATATGCATGCACTAGCAGAAAATTAGGCACATCTTAGGCCCGCTCACGCTGATCTTGATTGCCTCTAACTATTTTTTGCTTCTACAGCTGAGTTTACGTTTCAATTGACCGAAAGGTCAACTTAATTACATTTATATCGTGCGTCTATTGGACTATCTCATTCGCACTCTCACTCTTCTCCAGTCACTTCAACTGTCAACTTTCACTTGCACGCATGGTTTTTTTTATTTTTAGATATATGTGGGAGAGGCAATGTTTTGCGAAATAAAGAGTAAGACCTATGAGGCTTTATAAGGAAATTGTTTTCGTTTACTTAGAAAAAAGTCTCGTCAAGTGGGGTTTTACCTTTTTATTTATAATAGGTACAACGTCTTATTTGACAAAATAAGGTCAATGGTGTTTAAACATAAAATTATCAAAATAATCCATTTTGTTGTCCTTAAGTTCTATTCAATAACAAAATCCATTGATGGTTTGTAGTGTTATAATCTTAATAAATGGTTAAATTCCATTCGTTAGCATGGAGTAACTAATTTGATTCCAATTTGATTGATCGATTAGAACAGTTAATAAGAAGTTGATAACTTAATTAAGATCAAGTTTTGAGTGCATAGCATCTATGTCCAAAAGCTGTATAATTTTAATTATAGATAATGATTCCGACTAAGGCACTAATTTTATGGGCTTACTGATGGCCAAAAGTCGAAAACTAATTTGTTTATTTGTGTACCCACTCAAATAGTAGCTCTTAGCCTTACAAATAAACAATGGAATTGTTTTGTTTTAGCAAAGAGACAGAAAATCCATTTTGTAGGTCTAAACAGAATTCAACTGAATCTGATTATTTTGTTAATTCCCGGATGGGGATCAATTACATTCGATTGAATCGTTGCAGCTCAATCATGTGAAATAAGATACTTTTCTTCGGTTAAATTAAAAATCTTTTATTTTGAAGATGACACACTATTACATTTATATAGTTTCTAAATAACCAGGCATTTGCTCGTTAGCACCTTATGGTTAAGCTATTTCTTTTTTTCCAAATCGATATACATGAAGTTTTCATATATTGAAGTGCCTGAAGTGAACGTTATGTTAAGTGAGAGTGTAACCAAAACAAAATACTCGATAATGAATGCAAACTGTGCAAATACAACAGCCGCTTGGGTTCCGCTCGCGATTCCGGCCAGGTAAATAAACGATGTCATTTTTTTGTTAAAAATTTATGAAATTCGATTTTCTGTTTCTCGTTCTCACTTAGGTCGAGGAGCATAGGTTGTAATTGTGAGAAGAAGGCGGCTGGCGGTGCTAGGCAGGCAATTAACCTACACAAACCCGAATACGAGTTTACATTTTTGAGTTGATTTTAATTGCACTTCGTTTTTGTTTTGCAGCCAGCCGCCTGCCAGCCAAAGCCAAGAATTCCACATAACAAGAAAACACCTCACACTGCATTGCCACATTCCCAAGTAAAGCTGCCATGAGTTAAGATCAAGATGCGAGTCCAGGATCTGCCGCTTGCCATCGCTTTAATCGGCGCTTGTTTGCCGCTAACAGCCGCCTGCTCATCGCGTGCCATAGCCAAGCCGCGGCCAACAGCTGCTCCGATCTTGCCGCCGGACAATGTGGAGATATCCACAACGCCTAGGCCGAATGTCACCTTTCCGATCTTCGCCTGTCCACCCACATATGCCGCCTGGTATTGCCTAAACGATGCCACCTGCTTTACGGTGGAGATTCATAATGAAATCCTGTATAATTGCGAGTGCGCCTTGGGTTTTATGGGCCCGCGATGCGAGTACAAGGAGATCGATGGCTCCTACCTGCCAACCAGGAATCGTGTGATGCTGGAGAAGGCCAGCATTGTGAGCGGAGCCACGCTGGCCCTGCTGTTCATGGCCATGTGCTGTGTGGTCCTGTACCTGCGACACGAGAAGCTGCAGAAGCAAAAGCTGCACGACAGCACCACAACCACAACGACCGACGGTGGCTGTCAGAATGAGGGAATGGACGAGGTGGATGGCTTGCGACCCCTGCGCCCAGTGAGACGCCCCTTTGGCCCCTGCCGCATCCTATCGCTCGAGGAGGCTCACCTTCAGGCGGTCGCCTCCAATCGCCCCCGGCACTGCAACTAACATTCGCGCCATCTAATAAGCCAGGGGCTGCTAATTTGTTTTTGAATGTCTAACATGTCCAAATGTTTATTTTAACTGCATAACAAAACTATTCTTGCAACCATCCAATTAAGATGACGAATGCTCTAGTTTTAAGTGCCCACTGACGTGCCTCTAAAAAATTTAGATCAAGTATTAACGAACGAAAACTAATTGCTCAGAGAGAGATAAAAAGAAATCTAGATGTAATGCAATGCAATTTTGGCAGCTAGCCGCCCATTTATTTATTATACACCTAATTTTATTTAACGCCGCGTGAACTATTAACGTTAATAAAAGCGAGAACTAAACAATAAGCTTTGCTTTCAATTTGGATATAAGCAAATTTAAGAAATCAGTTACTCAAGGAATTGTGAAAGAATTGATTTTGTAAAATTTTAAAGTTTTTAGAAGGATAGTTTATTTTGGAGATGCATGAAAAAATCAATTGGTTGAACTGCACTGCTGCTTATTTAAAGCTGTAAGTTACTTTATTATTATTTATATGAGTAAAAGGTGATAGGGATGAACAATTGTATCTTATTGATAAATATTCTATATTTTAATTAAATTTTTAAAACATTTAAATTTAGAATTTATCATGACTTTAGCTGTCAAAAAGACACCTAATATTTTTCATAGCCCCCTAAGCACTTCATTAACTAATCCCATCGTTTTTGTGTCCTATTTTCCAGTCATGCCGCATAACAACCAGCAATCGTCCGGGGACGATCAATTGGGACCGCCAAAGGCGGACTTCAGTGCTCCACCGCCGTACGAGGCGAACGTGGGCCATGGTCAGCAGGTGGCACTGCCGGCTCAGATGTCAGCGCTGACCCTGGCCTCCACCGATCCTGGCCAGATGCAGATCCCAATGCAGATGCAGGTGCAACTGCCGGGCCAGGCTGACCTAATGAATGCACAACTGCCGCCTGAGATACACGGGAAGCTGCCCACCTACGAGGAGGTTCAAATGGAAAAGTCCCTGAACGGAGAGCTGCCGCCCGCCTTTTTGACTTTGCCCTCCTCGCAGCAGCTTCCCCCGCCGCCGAATCCGCTGCTGCCGCCCAATCCGCTGCGCGATGGTGCCGCTGCTGTGCGATCCGCACAACCGGCACTCACTTTTATCGCCATCGATGCCAGCGATCCGGAAAACAGCCTGTCGACCACGGACAACTTGCTCGGGACGGACATAATGTTCATCACGGCATTCATTGTGGCATTTCTGTTCAACTGGATCGGCTTCCTGATGCTCACGTGCTTCTGTCACACGATTGCCGCCCGATACGGAGCCCTGTCGGGATTCGGACTGTCTCTGGCCAAATGGACGCTGATTGTAAAGCACTCGACGGACCTGGCCTCGCACGAGAATTCCTGGCTCTGGTGGCTGATTTGCGCCTTCGGCTTTCTGATCAGCATACGCGCCTTAATTCAGTATGTGAGCATCAAGCGATCGTGGCGCCTGCTCTCTGCCTCCGCCCAAGAACGGCTGCTATTCTTCTACTAGGTGCGCCGGGTGGCTTTCAAGTGGCTGCCATGTAAATATGTTGTGGGTGGCTAGGAAGCTCGAATCTTACCTGTTCCCAAAACCCTCAATTCCCTTAGAACCGGCACACAAAAACCAAACAAAATCAAGGCGAACTTATTTCGGAGAGTTTGCGAAATCACTAAAAGTTTGAAAGTATGCCATTAAATGTATTAGTCCTGTCCTACTTCTATCAAAACCGAAGTAATAAGAATGTACAAATTTACCTTTATACACAAACCGTTTAATTTTAGGGCGAAATCCCTATGCTTTAATGCCAGAGACCTTAATATGATTGCTGGCAATTTAGAAACTGTATTACACTAGACTTTTCCGTTTTCTTTTAGAAACAAAATGTACTGTATATTTTTGGACACCTAAAGCTAGTTGTAAACGATGCAGCGCCCTTACAGTATCAAAATCAAGTAGATATTTTAAAATAGGATGTCACACCGTTTACAAAAACCTCAAGGACTTGTTGAAAACTTTCTAGCGATTTCGTGAACACCTCGAGTTGTGGGTTAGTGTTTTCTCTAGTTTCTATGTTAAATAGCGCAACTTAGTCCACGGACCCGGCAACTGTAGCATAATGACGTTACCTATGTGTGTTGAATGGTGAAAGGCGGATGCTTTCTCGCCTGCACCCCCCAATCGATTATATTTGTAAATGTATGTGAAATGTGTATGGATATATCACCCTTTATTGATCCCTTCCACACCTCTAAAAACCCCCCTTAGGCCATTTAGTGGCGCCCATGCACTTCAAACAAAGACACAAAACAAACCAAAAAAAAGGAAATAAAAGATAAATATGAGAGGTCGAAAGAAAAATATGCTAGACATATTTTTTTGAGCCTACTTTACGCTGTGGTACTTAATTAATTAACTGTACACAAGAGCCAGCAGTAATAATAATGCTAAACACACAAAAAACAACTATTGCTAGTACATATGATTATTGCCTATTATAACGTTTACATTTAATATGTTTAATCCCTTTGTATGTAAATCAAACGATGCATATGCATTGCAAAGGGTGCAGAGTAGCAATATCTGCGCCAGTTTTATGCAAATTCAATAAAATCGAATGATGTCATTCAAAATAATGGACTTGGTGTTTTTAATTCTTAAGTTTCTGTTGTTTTTGGAACAATTTGACTTTTTAAATTCTGTTTTCGCCATTCAACTTATAAAGTAAGTTTTTAAAAAAAAAAAGACAATCAAAATAATTTTTTAGAAAAAAATTATATATATTTTTTGCTTGAACAATTTTTTAGCAAAAAGTTATCAAAATATATTTTAAAATGCATAACATTTATATTATCTAATGAACTACTAATTTTATTTGATTTTTTTGTGACAAGGCGAGGCAAAATAAGATGATAGTTATTGTTAGGTCCTCATTTTGCTCCTTTTTTAAAAATGTTGTAACCGGACTTTGACTTTGTTCGTGGTTCTTCTGGTAATTTTGTAGATGCTAAACCATTGGTTTAATCTTCAAGTTTCTTCCTCCTTGTAAAGAAAACAAACTTCCAGAGTTACGACTTAATTTAAACCATTTTGCTTTAATACTCGCATATGTAAGATTAAAATCGTTAAGAGTATTTGCGGTGCTCTTTTCGAGTTCTTCCAGAACAGCGTCCTTGAAATTTGTGTAGATTGGGGCCACCACTATTATTAAAACTATTTTGTATGGGATTCGAAAGATAAAGAGTGACGTTTTTTACATGTTTTCATTGAATTAAAAAAAGTGTGTTTTCAAGAATCCGTGCATCCGTTTTCAAGAATTCTGCACGCGGGTGTGTAAAAAGTAATCATATTTATTTATTTATTATGTACTTTCCAAAATTTAGCGTCAAACAGCAATAACATATGAGGATTTTTTTTTTAAAAATAACTCAAAGGTTTGAAAACGAGTTTTTCAATCCCAGTGAATACACCCTACTTTCGTAGCGAATACACAATCTCGGCTGCCGACCAGTTTTAGCGGAGACACACTTCTCTCTTTTCAGGGTGACCATTTGGTATACTTTTGGTATATACCGAATTTATCTAAGCCACTTGGGTATAAAAAGAATAATTTGTATTGCGAACATCGAAGTTTCCGATGATTTTGGTGAAAAATATCGATGTTTAAATTAAACAAATTTTCTTTAAAACACATTCAATTTGCATTGAAATGTTTGTTTTTACTTAGAAATATTTTATTATGTGTAATGTATTTTTGTGTTTGATCGTAAGCAAACGTAAGTGTCAGTAAAAACAATCAAGATGAATAGAGATGGAAAACATCGATTGGCCGCTAAACATCGATGTTACCGATGCTTTGAAAACATCGATGACATCTATGCTTACATCCACCTCTAACAAGTCAAATACGTCATCATTCGATTTTTTTTCGTCGTTCGGATCGGTGTGAAATTTCCACGCAGGCGGCCATCTTGCTAAACCATCCTAGGAAAACTACAGTGCAATAGACCAAGTAATTGACAAATCGCCGTTGCAACACGTAAGTTTTTGAATAATTTCACCATTTGCGTAGTACCTTTGAGCGCTTTGCTTGTGTGTTGTTGGTGAGGCTAACGAAAATTTTAACGTGTGTGTATCTGTTGGGTACTTTTTTTTCGCTTTGTTCCCTGGGCATCTGAAAATAGTAATTATTGATTTTCCTGGGGGCTCCTTGCGTGTATTTGTGGCTAAAGTAATGGGATAATTGGATAATAGCTTTTTATGGGGGCTTTGAGTGTTTTTTTCTTATTCCGTGATATGCTTTGATTAGGAGGTTCTATTGTGGTTGTGCATTTACATATTTGTGGGGGCTTAACTAATGCATTTGGTGTAATATATTAGTGTGAAAACATGATTCCATTGCTGGGAAATGGGTTTCCTTTCTAATTTTGTGTATTTATCTCTATCACCCTCTCTTTTGCACCCGCATGGCCGGCCGGCTTTCTGACTGAATCAATTACTTATACACACGCACTGTCTGGGCCGCCATCTTTTTTCCACTCTATATGAGAATATATTACCAGGGTTTTTTACCTTTTTTTTTGCCCAAAAGCAAGGGCTTTCGTGTGTTAGTGTCGCACAAACCCGTTTTAATAGTTATTAATGTAATCTGCTGACCGTAGCGCCAAAATTGCTCCCAATTCTTTTTCATTTCCCCGTTGCTTTTCATTCTTCGGTTTTTTCGGGTTGGTGTGTGTATACGCACGCGGGGTTGTATTACGGGTTTTTGTGGGGTTCAAGACCTACCCGCAGAAAAAACGAAGATCAGGGCTTACTAACAAAAATATAATCTTATCGCTTGCCTCTCAACATTTGTTTCGTTCTTTGTTTGTGCCGTTTTACTTTCAGCTTGTTTTAAGAAATTTGCTCGCTTAAATACAAATCCTACATTACACATCCCATAAACTCTCCCACAAAACTAAAACCCGTCAAAATTATGGTCAGGTATGCTGCACGTCAACCCCGAAAATCCCAAAATATTTATGTATCTCCTGTTCCCAGACCCAAACCTATATCCGCTTGTAAAATTATAATTTTCCAAGGACTATTGGGATAATCCAAATATTTGTAATAATGAAGAGATGATAATGATGTTTTTAGATTTTTCTGTTACATCATTGAATTTGACGTTCTAAAATTATTAATCTGATTAACTCAAGAATCCTAAAATCAAAAATATAAACCCAAAAGCTTACCCGAACACCTGGAAAAGTATAATTTTATGGTCAAACATTTCTCCGATCTAACAACAAGTTTTGTTTGAAGACCTTCTAATTATTTCCCCCTATCTTTTTGCAGCGTAAAGGTCAACGGAAATCCACAGAATCGTTTAGGGAATAACCCAAAGGTCAACGGCAACATGGCATTCCGGGGCAACCAGAACCGCAATCGCAACTTCGGAGGCGGCAACAACAACTATGGCGGACCCATGGGCGCCAACCGCATGGGCGGCATGAACATGTCGCCCTGGGAGTCCCAGAATCCCGGTGGCGGACAGTTCGGCAACAACATGCGCCAGGGCGGCGGTCAGATGAACGCCCAGGCCATCAACCTGGCCAACAATCTGCTGAACAACCTGTTCAGGAGCCAGAATCCACCATCGCTTCTCGATTTGCCCCGCGGCGGCGGCGGCATGGGAAATCGCAATCAGCGCGGCGGCCCGGTATGTACAAAAGTTCAATTTCCCCCTTAAACACGTTGACAATGCCAACCGAATGAATTGTTATATTTATCTATTTTATTACTATTTCGCGATTCGTGTACTGCGAATCGAATTTCTGTGGTGGAGATGTAATGAAAAACACAAGGTCCTTTAATTTCATTTTATAATACTAGTCCTAAACTTCAGACAACTTCAAAAAATGTCTACGCATATCAACATGATAATAAATACTTGTCGATCTAATTTTATCTTTAATTTTAATCTTGAACTACATGTTTAAAAATGCTGAGTATTTAAATTTGATTTACAAATATAATTATGGGGTAACTTTTCCGTCCGTTTCAAAAAACTTTTAAAAAAGCATTCAAAAACACCAAATTGAATAAAAAAGTTTACTTCCTGAAACGCCTATAGCTTGCACTCCACAACAGAACCCTATATTTTGTGTTTATTTACCTTTAGTTAGATTGTTATATTGCCAAACGTAGCTAATGCTTTTCCTTTAAGAGATAAACAACAAGATTCAAAATCTAATCGTAGCTTGTAGTTTACTAAACCAACAGAGAAAACATAAATTAGCCAAATGAATATTGTGAACAAAACTGTTGAGAACTTTGTGCAGTGTAGTCAGGATATAAGGTTGTAAGGAGGAGGATGGATGTGGTAGACGAAGGTTTTCATTAAAAAACGCATTTATTCCATTTAAAATGCAATACTTTTTTAGTTCCGTAGAAACTGCACAAACGAAAAAGAACCGAACCGGATTATTTAACAAAATAAAAGAAACGAAATTTATATAATACACACGCATTGATAACGAAATGTACCTATTACAACATGTACCGCCAACACTTGTTCCACTTAACGATGAAAAGAGTATGATGATGATCTCTATATGTCAAGATTGAATCATAAGTAATTTATATGCAATTATTCTCTTACTAGATGTACTTAAGCATTTAATTACCTTTTTACCATATTTATAATTCGATTATTATCCGAAAATCCATTGCCAAGTCAAACGAACATTTCTTGGCTGGACTCTTTTTGCCACAACGCTTTTCTAATTTATCCATTATCTATTTTTATTCTCTCTTCCAAAACCAAAAACAAATAATGCCAAACTCAAAAAATTCGATGCTTTTCAATACACCTCAAATATCGAATATCGAAACCGCATCGTCTTGCATTTTTCGAATAATGCATTCCATATTGTTGTTGCTGCTCCGGCATATAAACTTGCTGTTGTTGTTGCTGCTGCTGCTGTCGTTGTTGTTGTTGTCGTTGTTGCTGTTGCGTGTTGTTGTTGCCGTTGATGTTGCCTCTTCCCACTTGCAATAATCCATTGCAATCGACAAAAAATCAATCCCCCCACCAAAAAATGAATTCCATTGACGGCCAACAATATTTTCAAAAACCAAAATAAAATTGAATATTATGAAACGCAACGCATACACACTCAACACACACACACACGCACGATGCACACACAATATGTGGCCAATATGCGAATCTTCACCAACGATGCGATGCAATATACTATATGATGCTTCCCGTGCGACGCCACTGATTGATTGATTGATTGATTGACCGATTGCTCGATCGATTGATATTGATCGCAATGCAATCTTCTAATCTGCTCTGCTCTGAAACCGAAACTGATCCGATCTGGTACTGGTACTGCTTGATGGTGCAACATAATTACATCCGAAAAAACCACAATATGTAATACCTATTTATATGTTCTAATGTCTAATGCAAATTCATCGCCAATTCTTCTTCGACGTTCCTGCCTCTGAAACTCAAAAAATCCGATTTCCATTTTCAAATGCCACTCGCCGCCACACGCCATCGAATAAATATATATGTATGCAATATATATATCCAACTATCCCCGTCGACTGATTGGCCGCCGCAACTGCCCCGTCGATCTGACCAAAAAAAAAAAATATTTACCATGTGCTCTATGTGCTGCCACTATATTTATATATATTTTACTATATATCAACGTTTACCAACCATCTCTGTAACGATTTATTCCCGCAATTATCAATTATCTGTTCAATTTAATTGCTCTGCCCCTCACAAAACATTGTAAATGGCCAACCGCGCCATATTGTCTCTGATCTTTCGGAAATGCTCTATGAATATTGTCTCTGTTTGTAAATCAAAACAAAATCAATTCACATATGCCCCATGTGCGCATTCGGAATTGTGCGAAAATGTTATTGTTAATCCTAAATGATAAACTAAACAATATAGATGGTCAGTCGCGGCGGCGGTGCCGGCAATCGTCTCAATAACCGTCGTGGCCAGGGAGGTGGCTTCCAAAATCGTGGCGCCACTGGTAGTGGACCCAAGCCCCCGCAAAAGCAGGGCGGCGGCGGTATTCGCAAGCAAAATGCTTTTGATCGTGCCAAGAAACTTTTGGCTAAAAATGCCAACCAAAATAAAAAGAAGGAACCCACTCCTGGCGATAAGAAAATCGAGAGGTAAGACTTACTACAACTTTTCCAAAACAAACCAAAACCACAACAAAAAAGAATACATTTTTTGCTGCCCACCAAATCGAAAGGATTGATTTCTTTCACTAAAATCAAAACCAAACAATACAAAAATCGAACTCAGCAGCTCAAGTATATTATATAAAAAGTTTTTCTTAAGTACTTAGGCATTCCAACTTTCTAATTGCTTTTCCTCATACATTTCTAAAAAGTATATTTAATTAGAATTAGTTCTTCATTAGGGATATAACCTTTTTTGATGCTGTTTATATTAATGTGTGTATGTGGTCAATGTGGGCGGAACCACGCCCACTTGGGTAGGGAACCGTTAATCTATAGTTGTAAATATTACCCAAATCCATACAATTTTTTAATATCATTTGATAACAAAGAATAGCTTTTAAAATGTAAGATTGGGTTTTAATTTTTTGCGTTTTGTGTACCTACATTCTAAATTTATTTTTGAAGTTTAAAAGGAGAGAATGTTCCTAACGAGTTATATATGTTTGCCATTAAATTATTTTTGAAATCACTCCTTATAATATCTCTCCTTTTTGATATCAAAATTTATCATCAATTGTTTTTTTTTTAATGTTAACATGCGATCATAAATGTAAGATTTTTTTTGTAGAAAGAAATATGCTGAAAATATTTATAATCTTACTTTACTTGAATTAAGAATTGTATTTGAAATGCTTAGATAGTCAAGTTTGGTTTTTATCTGCTTTGACTTCTTTTGTCATAAGATAGGTTTACGGCATATTTCTTTCGGCAAACCATTCATACTCACTTTCAAAACGCATCAAAACCATAGCAACAGACATTCACTATTGTATTACTCATCTATCGCCATCTGTACTGTACGTATCATAAGTATAAATTGCAGCGAAAATCATTCTCTATCCCTCTAATATTGTATTCTCTTCCCTAGAGCCAGACCAGACGCATCCCCGTCTATACATTTCAGATTCAAAACTAATATTTTTACCTTTCTTTATTCCTTCCCCCACAAAAACCAATGATCTCTGATCAAATTCTGTAGCCCCACCAAGGAGTCGCCCTACGCTAGTGTGCCAAACGACATGTTCTACTGTCATCTGTGCAAGAAGCACATGTGGGACGCCAACTCGTTCGAGAACCACATCAAGGGACGCACCCATCTGATGATGCGCGAGGGTATTGAGGAGAGCTACCGCCTTAAGGCCAACATGATCCGTCAGGAGGCCAAGATCGCCGAGCAGCTCAAGTCGATCGAGTTCGACCGCTTGAAGCGCATGGGCAAGAGCAAGCAACGCCAGTTGGATTACTGCACCATGTGTGACCTGAACTTCCACGGACACATCTCGACCCATCGCAAGTCGGAGGGACATTTGCAGCTGAAGAAGTTCCTGCATCCCAAGTGCATTGAGTGCAACAAGGAGTTCGCCACTCGCATCGACTACGACACACATCTGCTGTCCGCCGAGCATCTGAAGAAGGCCGCCGAGAGCAACACCAAGGTTGGTGAGCGCAAGCGCCAGACGTTGCCCATCAGCACCGAGGAGGAGGAGACTCGCGATCTCCGTCTGCCCCAGAAGCGCAAGAAGAAGCCAGCCAAGAAGGAGGGCGAAGCCGCCGATGGCGAGGCCAAGAAAGAGGGAGGCGGCGATGGTGAAGCTGCCGAGGGTGATGAAGCCGAGGGCGATGAGGCCAAGGAGGGCGAAGAAGGTGCCGACGAGACTAAGGAGGGCGAGGAGCTCAACGAGAGCCAGGAAGAGGAGGAAGTGGCCCTGCCTGTGGATCCCGAGGACTGCATCCTTGACTTCACCGACGGCGACGAGATCCCCAGTGAGGTGGACACCCGCCTGCCCAAGTACAACTGGCAGCGGGCTGTCGGTCCTGGCCTGATCTCCAAGCTGGAGTGCTACGAGTGCTCGGTGTGCAGCAAGTTCTTCGACACCGAGGTGACCGCCGAGATTCACTCGCGCACGGCCACCCATCACCGCAACTTCTTGAAGTTCATCAACGAGAAGTCGAGCGACACCAAGATCGCCCAGAAGCGTGCTGCTGCTGCTTTGGAGGAGAACGAGCGCAAGAAGCGCAAGATCGAGGAGACAGAGGCCCCGTCCACCGAGGGCGCCGCCGAGGAAGCCACCGAGGGAGCCGAGGGTGAGCTTTACGACCCATCGGAGGCCACCGGCGATGATGACGATGTAGAGATGGCAGATGACAATGCCGAGGGAGAGGGCGAAGGCGAAGGCGAAGAGGAGGTCGAAGGTGAGGGCGAGGAAGATGGCGCCGGCCAGGACAACGGGGAGGAGGAGATGGAGGCCCAGGAAGAGGAGCAGGAGGCCGAACAAGAGCCCGAACCGGAGCCATCTCCGGCCAAAACTCCGGCTGCCGCTGAACCAGCTCCCGTAACCAAGACGCCAGCTAAGACTCCGGCCAAGGCCGCTGCTGCCACGCCCGCTGCTGCGGCGACGACGCCGGATGCCTCGCCATCGCCGGCCAAGAAGGCGACTCCCGCTCGCGCTGCCGCCGGACCCAAGGCCACACCGCAACGTCAACGCGCACGCGGTCGGTACAACCGCTACTAAGTAGACGTCGAAGAAATTCGTAATTTAAAATAACACATAAACTTAAAATCTATACAAGAAATTATATACATTCACGCCCAGGAGGAGGATGATGAAAAACAGATCAAATCGATCTCTTCCCGCAATTTGACATTTGCATCCCAATTTGCATATAAACTGAATGAAAGGAAACTGAGAAGAAGACAAGCAACTTTGCGTTGAAACAGTTGAATACATTGTAACTGGAGGCGGAACTTCTTGATACTGTGACGAGGGAGATCACAAACAACTTGATTGATTTAAATATGAACAATACCCAAATCCCCCTAACAGCACTGCATACCATACCATACCAGCCAACCATTCAACTTATGTAATCATACAAATTTTAAAATAAACAAAAAAGCAAAAGTAGTTGTAAAACAAGTGCGATTTCTGTTTGTTTTGGTCGAGGGAAATGGAAATTAGCTTTCGATCAGTTGTTGGGCAATGAAATGGAGCAACCGATTTTTGGAGACTGTGCGTCTGGTTCATCGGAAAAATAAAGCGACAGTTGCTTCCTGGTCAGATTATCATATGGTAAATGTTAGTACTAATACATTGTGTTACAATGATGTTTTTTAACCTCTAAAATGGGTCTTCAGTTTCAAAAAATGATCAAATTAATATTCGAAGACCTGAACACCTCAAATCCAAGTCAAATTCCATGCACATTTTATTACATTTAGCGGTTTATTTTTTGCCACAATTCGATTCTAAGTTTATTATTATGTGCGATGAGCATATAAGGAACGCCTTGATATGGTATACAAAGTGGGGTACATATTATTTACAGCTTACGAAACTATGAGGAGCCACTCCTTTGAATGTTTTAAGGGAGGCGGAATCGATAATTAAGTGAGATCCCTTTGAAGCGGGACATGGGATTAAGTACTTGGGGTGCAGTATGAGGATCGGGAGGAGTTAGTTGAACTCCAAAGTATTCGCCTCCGTCATTGTAGTGCGCATGCGGCTCTGGTCGCTCTGGGATCGGCGAAGTCCACCCGGACGCCATCCGCTCCTCCAGCGCTTAATGCAGCCCAGCAACGACCAATTGATGGACTTGGATCGACTCAGCACATAGACATACGGATCCGAGGTAAAGTGTAGAGCCGTAAGCACGTCGGCGATGATAAAGAACTTGTTCGTTGCGGGCAGCCGATCTGGGGCTATGGCCAACGGGATAGCAATCTTAAAAAAGAATATAAAAAATATTGTTATTTTAAAATAAATATTACTGTTTTTTAAGGGTTTTTACTTCACTTAAAGTATAAATTGTTTGCATACTTTTTGGAGTCTGAAGGGTACATTTTTAAGAGAGTTAACCAATTCCCTATTTTTCGGGCTTAATATTGTTCGATTGATATGAAATTTGGTATGTGGGTAGGATATATAAAGATATTACCCCAGGACTCACCATCTGTGGCATCCAGCAGATGACAAAGGAGATGCTGAGGAACGCCATCAGCTTGGCGAACTTGATCTCCACCGGGGAGGATTCTGTAGCTGCCATGGTGACGCTGACGCTGTGCCGGAATTGCCTCGTTGGATGGACTCCGCGGTGGCTACCTCCGCTTCCGGAGCTTAGCTGTGTCTGGTAGAGAGTGGTGGCGCTGCTGCTCTCCGGATCGATGCTAATCGCACTGGTCTTTTCTCCGGAGACCAGGTCATAGTGCATGTGCCTCTTGGCCGTTCGAGTCCTTCCAATTACACAGAGTAAAGTGTGTGCCACGAACAGGTTGCAGGCCACGATCACAATGCAAAGGAGGGTACCTGGAGTCAATCGATTGCCAAATAAGTAACAATATGTAACCAGCAATTGGTGGGACATTACCAAAGACCATAAACAGCACCGCGTACGATTTGTTCCACATTCCCGGCGCATCGCGATATCGCATGCACTTAAGCTTTTCCGGATCAGATCTATCAATGTAGGCGCCAAACCCAACCAAAGGCAGGAACGTGATGACTACCGCCACAATCAGTATGCTATTGATGCTTTTGCGGATCAGCTCGTAGGTGATGTGCTATATGGGAGATTTATAACTATTAGTTGGATGCATTTGTCAGGTTCGTGATTTCCTGTATACCCATTTTCTCTTTTGTTCTAATCAATAATTATAAAAATGCTTTCTCAAAAGGTCAGAATAATAAATATTTTGAGCTTTAAACTATTTCTATAAAAATAATAAAACGATCTTTTATATCTAGTGCTTAAAAAAAAATTAAAACTAAACAGCTAATTCTTCAGAAGTGACCAATTTTCTATATGGTAGCATTTTATATTTTAATTCCTAAGTACATATGTGCCAACCTTATTTAATGTATTGCATTTTAACCCCTATAATGATTAAAATCTTCTCGGAGCGTTTTAAAAATATATAACCATTAACATGATATCTTTTATATTTCTAGGTGAGATTACTGTCATTATAATAAGAGCTAAATATTTAAAAATAATGTTACGCAATGCTATATAAAATATAGTTCTAGAGGTACCCCTATATTAAAATTAAATTTTTTTTTATAATGATACAAACCTTGTGGTAAATGAAGGGTCTTGCCAGAGCCATCCACCTTTCAGCTGCCATTACTGCCGCAATGCATCCAGAGCTAAGACCAAAGAAGCGCCACACCACGAGTCCCACACAGTCCACTCGAATAAAGGACTGCAAGACCTCCTTCGAAAGGTACATTTTCAGCAGCGTTGTGGTCAGCATCCCCAGCAGAGCCACCAAATTGTTGGTGGCCAGGCATCTGGAATAGTTAAGGACTTTCATAAATTAGGTTTAGCTTAGCAACAGGGCTTTTCAAGGCTCGTAAATGGGATAATAAAAGATTTCCACTCCATTAACATTAATGTGGCAACGAACCATTGAGTTCTGTAATAAACCATCAATATAAGAAGGCAGAAAAATTTGTAATAACGAATTGTTTTTAATTAATTGCCCCTATGATAAGGCGAAACTTTCAATCAAGATACCTCAAAACTGCCCCATATGGTTGTACAACTGCCAATTTTAGTTGCCTAAGACGTGACTTGAACTTTAAGCACTCTCAAACGGCCGCCGGCAATTTATTTTGTACTGAATAATATAAAAAAAGGCAACCGAAATTATATGGAATTTTTTTATGGGTAAATTAATTTTAAGTCTTGTAAGTAATGTATGTATATTTAAAGATTTGTTTTAATAGTTCGGAAATTTTCCAAATAATAAACACATATATTCTGAAAATTTTCGTAAAATCTTTACTGATTGAATAATCTTCTAATCATTTGTATTTTTATTAACACATATATAAGAGCTTGAGGAACTCATTATTACAAAATATATTTATGTATTATTTTTCAAATACTTGTCATAGAGGTGAACTAAATTTTTAACTTATACACTACCCTCACTTTGCGAAAAAGCCGTATATACTCGAAAAATGTGTGTCTGTCAATAGTGAGTTTGATTAAGTATTTTGCTTTTATTGTGATCATAAAATATGTCATTTGTGGAAAATGTTTGTGCTCCGTCTGGATTGTTTTTTGGGCGGCGTTGACACAGGAAACTCATTTGTCTTTGGGTGAGATGAAAATATAGGACTTTTGCAATAGAAATGTATGACAACGTCTGCCTGGAATAAAATAAAAAATGGGATTGACAATTCCCGGAGATTGAGGGTGGGCCAAATAGCTGGGCTAAACGTTGGGAATTGTAATGACTTTATTCGTTTTTATTTTTGTTATTTGCTTGTGCACCATTATACCTGCTTATAGCGCAAAAACTACTAAAATTCAATTTATGGTGCGTTGTAAAAGTTTTACTAAAAGCAAAAGCACCAAAACTGTTCATTACAGGGCGAAAATATCTACATTTTCGATTTGCAATGTGAAATGCATGATTGTGTTATTGGCTTGTAATAGCAAACTCATTGTTTATTTTTGCAATGGGAAAGCACAAGTTCCACAGAGGGAAAAAGCAATAAGGGTGATGCCATTGGGATACCCTGATTTATCGACACCGCTCAAGTGCCAATCACCGGGTTCATTCAATCAATCAAATTACAGATCAAAGGCTCTCCTAAAAGAGGCTCATGTCTGGAGAGGAATTCGCCTTAATTTCTGCTCCCTTGATGGCTCAAATTGCTGGCGACAGCAATTTACGCATATTACGCATACGCAATGTTGTCGCAGCATAAAATGTAGGGAAAGGGGCAAATTGGAATAAAGCTCACTGAATCTGCCAACGGGCCAATGCTGATAAATGACGTATAAATTGTGGCAAATATTTGGCAAATGAACTGAAAGGATTACATTGTGCGTCATATATAACATTTTATCTCTTGATAAGGTTGTTTCCTAATATAATTGCACACCCTTTCAGATGGTATTACCCTATGACTAATTTAAATTAAAAATAATTACTCATCAATCAACTATGTGTGTATTTTAAAACATAATGTAAAATCCACAATAAGTTAAATACTTATAATACTAGGGAAAAACCCAGACTTGTTGATTCAATGTTTTTAAAGTTATAAAATATGCAAATGAATAAAAATTAAAAATACAATGAAAAATATTGTAATTGCTATAAAAAATATAATAAAATCTAGCCTTCCTAACTTCTCAATGGAAATCGTATATATACACACATTTGCCAACTGGCCAAGCACTGATCTCCGTCTTCAGTTACACCATTAAGCTTTTAATGCATTCGCAATTGCTGCATTCCCATGTCGCCGATAAGACTGTCCGATATAGACTGAAATATGACAAAATCTCAACATCAAAACACATGGCCAATGGACTAATTCCGCCATTTGATAAGATATGCAGAAAGCCAAAAACAAAGCCCCGGCCAAACAGAACAATTCAGTGTATGCAAATCCGGCCCGCATAGGCATATAATCGAACACTACTATTTAATAGTGGCCGCAGTTGAGAGCAGGTTGAATAAACTTACATAGCCATGAACTGGCCGCAAACAGTCACAAACATTATGTGCATAAAATGAGTAGCTACACGCAAAGAAACATGTAAAAAAAATAAAGATTTTGGTGGTCGTTTTAGGCCTGAAATTAAGTGTTTAAATTTTATTTTATGTAAAAATAAATTCGATTGCATCGTTGAAAAAAGCTTTGTGTTTATTTTAATTATTTTTAATTATCTTAATATTTTTTCCGTCAAAAATAGTTATATACCTTATAAAGAGTTTAGAACTGTCTACCTAATTTCAATTTAACATTTAACTTCAGGTTAAATTTACATTTGCTGACAGATTCCAGCTTGTTATAATGTAAATTCCCCTTTTAAAATCTCCGGGAACTTTTAGATTTTTTGTTATGGTTGTAATTATTATATTAATACCTAATATTTCAAACCTACATTTACA